AATATTTTCTTCTTCCTTCCATCTGTTTTTCCTTTTTTTAAACTTTTTCCCATATCTTTCCCTTTTAACCCAATTCTGTATTCTATATTCATCTTTGACACATTTACACATTTGCTCTATTGCAATTAGGGATGTCCAGATACCAGTTCAGATGCCAATACTTGGCATTTTCACGAGAACTACCTGGGTTACAGAAGTTGCAGCTGGGACCGGGCTCTGGTGCTCCACCACTATCCTGAAATTATTAGTCTGCTTTGTTTTAGAAAAATTGTCGCATAACAATAAACAAAAATGTATCAGCACTTGTATCTGAAAGTACTTGGACACGTATTAGTACTTGTACTTGGAAAAATGGTATCGGTGCATCACTTATATATATTTTATTAAAACAAATAATGCATTAAAATGGGGATGTACGAATCCCAGGAGCTCCGTATGCTCCTTAAAAATGACAGCTGCCTCCTAAATTTAGAATTTTTCTCTAGTCTAATCCTGGAGATGGAAAAGTATCTGTACATGTACTTGTACCGAGTACAGTCCTTGGTACCTGAACATCCCTAATTGCAATTATATCAGTATTCTTTACCATTCTCAGTATAGGGATGCACTATCTGCAATATGTTTATTTTATGTTCTGATATCCTGCTCTTGTTAGTATTTATTTTTTAACATTTTAAACCTGTAATATAAATGTTATACCCTGTGGGGTACCTTTATATCCTGCTGTAAACTCTGTGTATTTGTGACATTGCAATAAACGCCATGTCAAATGGAATGTGTCCTGATGAACTGAGCCGAATGGTATTCATCTCAATAAATTATGAACGTCTTTTGCCTTTACCCTGCTATATAGCCCTTCCCCCTCCCCTCCCTTCTCCAAAAAAAATCCCAAATTTCCTTCGTCACTGCCTCCCTATCGTGTCACTCTGTATTCATCCTTCACTGGGCCACTCCTACATTCCCACCAGTTCTTTTTTGTTTACATTTTATTAGATCGATTTGTGCCAGAAATAAACCATAGGTATCGATATTTCTGAAATTATTTTAGATTTATATAAAAATACAGCTTCAGTTCCCTTGCAGAAAATGTTAAGGTAGTCCAGTGAATTGTAGCTGTGTGATCACTGTAAAACTGATAACTATATACTGTCAATTTTTTTTTTTTAATCTTCTATATTAACTACATTAAAATGTTATTTGCTTTCTAAATCTATGTAAAAATAACGGATCATGTGATAAGATGACACAGCTCGTGGCGTGACCTATTACCCCATCCTGGCAGTTAAAGGGTTAACAGAAAAGTGCATCGAGGGTGGAAGTGCATTGCGGCAGATGTACATCCAGCTGTGCATGCAGAACTAGCCATAAAACTTACCCAGGAGGCTGAGTGCCAGTGCTACCAAACTTAACCCAGGGGGTGTTGGGCGCTCTCTCCTGCCCATGGCCTGGGAGGGGTGAGGGGGGTCTCCGACTCCTGTCCTGGTATATATCTATTTATATAATGTAATTTTTGCCTCGATGGTGCAGCTCTGACAGAACAGTAAAGTCAATATGGCCGTATCTCTGGCTACAGCAGAGATGCAGGAGGGTTGGGGGTGGTGGGTGGTGGGAACACTTGATTTTATGGTTGGTAGATATCCTGGAATGATGCAGGAGGGTGAAAATATATTTTTTGTACATATATTTAATCCTTTAATCATTAGAGCTATGCTTGGATCATGAGATTCCTCCGTTCTAGTTTACTGTATATACTCAATCTTTAAATTGTCTGTTAGAAGGACTGTTTAAGGGAATATAAACACAAATTGTATGCTGAGTATGATAATCAACCTGTAAGCTTTGCAGGGTTCTTTCTCTCATCATTGAAGAAGTTTACATGTAGTTGACGCTTTCCAATAATATTAAGATAAATATATCAAGCTGAAAAATGAAACATCTCAACCACAAATGCCAGATAAGAGTTTAATAGTAATAAGAAGAGGTGCCTTGTTTTTGTTTAATAAAGACAAATGCATTGATCCCTTTGATGAATGAAGTCCGATTCTTCATAAGTAACAGATACACAGCGGCACTCATCACCCTCTGGAAATATCTATTCAGCATTTATGTGTTACAGGTGTATGATATATTTATATTTTAACTTTAGATTTAACTTCTGAGTTTAGTGTCACTTTAAGTGTGACACACTAAACCAGAGAAGTGAAGAATAACAGCAGATGCTGTGAATTATACTGAGCACAGAGAACAGAAGTAGTACTGTGCAGACACCTTCAAACAGAATAAGAGCAGGCACTGAGAATTACACCCGGCATGCAGAGCAAGAGAAATGCTACTGTGCAGACTCCTCCATACAGGATAAGAACAGGTACTAAGGATTATATCCCACATACAGAACAAGAGAAGTGCTGCTGTGCTGACTCCTCCATACAGAATTAGAGCAGGCACTGAGAATTAAACCTGGCATACAGAACAAGAGAAGTAATGCTGTTACAGGTAATGAGAATTATGTCCTGCATACAGAACAAGAGAAATGCTACTGATACAAATACTGAGAATTACAGTATATCCTATATAAAGAACAAGAGAAGTGCTATTGATACAAGTACTGAGAATTACACCCAGCATACAGAACAAGAGAAGTGCTACTGTGCAGACTCCTCCATACAGAATAGGAACAGGCGCTGAGAAGTACACCCGGCATGCAGGACAAGAGAAGTGATACTGTGCAATGTCAATACATATAGAGGGGAATTTATCAAGACTGAAGCAGACAGAATCTGGAGCAGTTGCCTATGGCAATCAATCAGCTTCTCTCTTCAGTTTGTTCAGTTAAGATTTTAAAATGAAAGATAGAAGCTGATTGGTTGCCATGCACAGCTGCTCCAGATTTTGTCGGCTCCTGTTTTGATAAATTCCCCTCACTGTATATACACACAAAAAAAACCCAGACACTGAAAATCAAGCTGTTTGTGATCACTCAGTTGTCGATCTATAGAGCCGGCATATGACACCAGCAGTGTCACACACCAGCAATAAGTATTGAGAAGAGTACATTTTACTCTCCCGGTACTTCTCCTTGAAGGTATTCTATGTTATTGTCACCAGTATTGTTACTATTGTCATTCAATAGTATTACCACTAATGTCACTGGTGTTGTCATTGCTGCATATTGCCTTAATTGCCCATATCTTGTTCTCATGTTGTCGCGGTTGCCCATTTGTTGCTCTCATATTATCAGGATTGCCCATTTGTTAATGTATATTGTCATGAATCCCCATTTGTTGCTCTAACATTGTCACAGTTGCCCAGTTTTTGCCAGAAGGCCAACCGAGGCCCGGCCTCAGGGTGGCAGGGAGTAGGGGGCGGCAGCGGTGTGGCTTTCCTATCTCCCGACACCCAGGACATGCAGTTCCATGCAAAGGGCGATTAGTTGTTCTCTAAATGTAGCCCTGATTTGGGCAAGCAGGGCTAAATGTAGAGCGGGGAAGCCGTCCCTCGTTTTGTACAAGTGATCTCGGTGATGTTGCCAAGATCACTTGTATGCAACCTGCATGTCTGCCCCCCCCCCCCACCACTGAGACAGACTCGCAGCCTTCCCAACTGTACTGTACTCAAACTCCTCTATTGGAAGAAGGGACAGGTTCAATAAACAGAACCTGTCACCTCCAAATCACACAGGGGATTGTTAGCTCCTGTGTGATAGCAATAAAGTTAAGCGGGGGGAAAAAATTAAGTATAAAGCACTGCAGAAATGAATGGCGCTGTATAAATGTTTGTGATAAATACATTATTATTAACTTATATAATTTCTGAATCTTTCTCATAATATCTTCAGATCTGTAATGACTTTAGCACAGCACTGTCCAATGAACATGTATTGATTAGTATAACTGCAATGTAAAATCCGACCCTAGGCTGAAGATGCTATGACTAAGGTATAACTAAGGACTTGAGAAGAAGGAGTGTTTAAAAGTCTGCTCTGTCAAGAGTTTGCCTATCCACTCCTATTTGCAGGGTTTGGATCCATTATGCCATTTTTCTTTTTAGGAAAAAACACGATCTTCCCGCAAAAATATCAGATAGTCACCCCAGGTATACAGTCTGGTATTCCCATGGCAAGAGGGTCCCAAGTGGGCAGACCCCCCTGCTCCATTGAATAGCCTTCAGCCCACATTTAGTTTTTAAGTTCTGAATGTATAATTCTATTACACTGAATTTCCCAGTGTTGCAGGCCTCAGTACTACAATGAATGTCTTACAGATACATTTGTTTTCTTCATGCAAGCCACATAATAAAGGTTTAACTGTTTGAGAACCAATATTTTTCTTTTATTTATTATACTGGAAAGTATAGGGGAGTTTTATTTCTAATTTGGATTAACTGTATTTAAAAACTGGTGTGTGGGTATTTTTTGTTTTTGGTTGCTACTTTGACATTGCACAGTAAAGGTCCTTTACACTGCATAGCCCAGCATTTTTCAAACTTGTTTCAATTTCGGCACCCTTTAAAAGTATGCAAAATCTCAAGACTCCCCAGTCTAAAATGCAAAAAAATGTAAAAATAAATAAAAAAAGACATGTGTTACCTCTAAAATCCATACCAGACCCTTACCTAAGATAGGGGTATGGTAAGGTATTTTTAAGGGGGGATTGCACAGAAAAACACAAAAACTGGGGTATCCCCCTTCACTTCAAAACCCCCCTTTCAGAAAAGAATCCCCCTTTACATCAGAGGCCCCCTTTACATCAGGTGCTTCCCATTACATCAGGAGCCTCCTCCTTTCACATCAGAGTAACCCCCTCTCACACTAGGAGCCCTCTTTTCATCATGGCCTGACTGCACAATGGAAAGCTATAACACTGTGTGAAAATTTTGAGGCACCCCTGTTTAAGTCATAAGGCACACCATGATGATTTTATCTTCAATGTGAGGGTAAAACAGACAGAAATCGTAAATGTTAGCGTTGTGGGGGTAAATCTACCAATGGGGAAACCTGTTTTGGTGACTGGCTAAAAGAGAAATCCTAGGTTCCTGTTGTGTCTCTGGCAGAGGAAGTAAAAGAAAATCTCCTCAAAGGGACACTGACAGAAAATAATAAACTGACAGGGGTTTTAACCCTTCCCTATGCTGCTGCCTTTTGTGATATCTCAAAGGAAAACCGAAAAGGTGTGTGGCATCTCCTTCCATGCTCTGTTCTTACTGTCTGCAGCTGATGTAACATGTATGCTGATGCAGAAAATATTACACAGGCATGGAAATAAACCCATAAATAATTAACAAGTAATTCTTCCTAAACACACTTTACAATTCATTAAAAAACCATATTGGAAAAAACTGCAATTGACGGTGTTTTTCCCTCCTCAAAGTGGACTGAAGAAACAAATCAAGGTGAATTGCTTATGGAGCAGATTTTAAAAGGTCTATTATCCTTAACAGCTACCCTGGAATGTCCTCAGAATACTAAATAATGGATTATACTTCAGGAATTATATATTACATTTTGGGTTCTTTAGATTTTACGGTGCATTGTTTCATAAAAAACAGTCAAGTGTTTCTCTATTTTTTTTATTGAGACATCCTGAAAGCTAATCATCCTAGATGTAGTTGTGCCTTGAGTATAATATTTGATATTGTGTCATTTCATTGAATGTGATCAAACTTTCTGAAATATGTGGACAACTTTTATTTTCTTTGACAAAATGCTTTAAGTAGTTGTGCTATGTTATGCAATCTATATTTAGACCTGTAGGACTGATTTTGTTGACACTAATCACTTACATTTAAAAAATAATCCCTATTTATAGAAAAACATAAAAAATTGCTTAGATAAAAAACTTAAGACCCCTATTAAAATGCCCCCCACATAAATCCGCAGTTATGTGACATGTTGGTTCCGAGTCTTCTTTCTTCTTCTGTGCACAGGACGAAGGGTCCTTCGTGCATTCATGTCACCACCTTCTTGACGTGGACACTTCCTATTGGCAGTGCAAGGATCCTCTCATGATTCTGAAAAGAGTCTGCAGGTGATGACATCAGCATAGGGCACATCTACAGTGCTGGTTTACATGTGAGCAAGGGACACAGACACAGGACTTAGGGGAGTTTATAATGCTCCAGATGGTATTAAAGAAAATGTACTGAATGGGTCAGAGGGGGGGTGGGGGAGGAGGGAGTGGAAGGTGCAGTTAAGTCTTGCCCGTAGCAGGACTTTAAAGCAAACCTTGTCTTAAAATGCAAAGTCTGCTTATAATGTCCATGCTCCCCCACCTTTATTTGCAAAGAGTACCTGTAGAGAAAAAAAGATAGATTTGACACTTGCCTCACCCCATCTTCTGCCCATGGGCCTAGGCAAAAGTGATGGTAATGCTCATTCCAGCAAGATCCTGGGGAATTCACTCAGTGGGTGGCCCTGTTTGCCAGCTTTCACCCTACATCCTTCAACTGTCAACATACAATAGTTCTGCCTGGATGGCGGAATCTGTTAGATTTTTAAAGCCTTAGATTTTTTTAGGGGGTGGAGGCCCAGATATTATAAGCAGAAAAGAATTTTGGTCCTTGTCTTGGAAAATCTA